TATATCGACAAAATAAAATAAAACAAAAAAAAAGAGGGAGAGAAGAAATCTAGGGTTATCAGAGGTGGTAGGGGGCAGTGAGAGGAGGATAGGGAGAGATTGGACAAGGGGCATAAAGAATAAGTACAATTTGTAACAATACATATGATAGTAATATTGATTTGTTTTTTTGTTATTTTTTTGTTTTTTTGTTTTTTTCAAAAAGTTTTATTTATTTTTAATTGACAAATAATAATTGTATATATTTAAGGGGTACAATGTGACTTTTTTTGTTTTTTGGGGGGGTTTTTTTATTTTTATTTTGTCAATATACAATGTAGTTGATTATTATGTCCCATCACCGAAACCTCCCTCCCTCCTCCCTCTCCCACCTCCCATCCAAGTGTGTCCCCTCCATTTGCTGGTTGTAAGAACTTCAAAAAAAAATTGTGGTTGTTATATCTTCCTCTCCCCCCCCCAATTATTTTGGTTTTTCTGTTGTTGTTGTTGTTGTTGTTTGTTTGTTTTTTTGTGTGTGTGTGAGAGTGTGTGTGTGTAGCGCACTTACTGCCATTTGATTTGATCAACATATGTCAACATTGAACCCCCAAAATATGTACAATTATGATTCAATAGAAAATTTTTTTAAAAAAAGAACTCATGGAAAAAAAAAAGACAAAGGTGGACTCTCTCTGAGAGAGACACCCTAAAACTACCAAATAGAGCCAGACAGCCGTGGTGGAATGAGGGGTCAGACACATATTCCCATGCTTACAAGATATATGTATGTTATTGTCTGTCATGGGGTTTTTCTTTCCTCTAACTAAGCAGAAACTAGTTCTTGAAAGATGTCAAATCAGCTACAGCTAGAAATTTTCCAGACTGTCCTTCAGACAGTCCTCTGGCATCAGTCATTGACCCCCCACTCCTCAATCTCGAGAGCCCACTGCAGCTCCAATATTATGGAGGGCCAGGTTCAAGGACATCTCCTGACAAGCCCTCTGACCCCTGGTCCAGCTCTGGCTGGTCTGAGTCTGTGCACAGAGTGACTTTTGTGCCCTACAGTTACCTTTTGACATCAGAAGCCAAATTTCAACTCATTTTAATACTAAATCTCCTCCTCAAAATGAACATGAGACATGGGATGTGTATGTTTACTCGCTGCGCATGCACATGACTTCCCTCATAAATATTCATAGAATTCCTCTGAACCTGCTGAACTTGTATATATAGCTGACGCTGCAAGGCATATAAAAAACTCAGTTTCTCCCTCCCTTGATGAAGTACATACTTTCAGTTCCCCCTGCAATCCCAGGTCATGTTTCCCCAATCTACAGATTACCTCTTTTTTTTTTCTTCTTCTTCTCCTCTGAAAATAAAACCTCTCCTTTTCTACCTCTGGAGATCTCGTGGTCTTTTCTTTAACCATAATAAGCCATTAAACATAATTCAGTGTTGCCCTGAGCTCTGTGAGCTGCTCAGCAAATCAGTGGAACCCAAAAAGGGGTCGTGGGGACCTCCATTTATAGCTGGTCGGTCAGAAGTTCCAGAAACCTGGGTTCACAACTGGCATCTGAAGTGGCGAGACAGTCTTGGATACGGAACCCTTAACATGTGGGATCTGACACTATGTCCAGGTAGTGTAGGAATTGAATTATAGGACACCCAACTAGTGTTCACTGGAGAATCACTGGCTCTCTTGCTAGTGGGGAGAGATAACTGAACATTTGGGTCACAGAAGTCAGTCTTCTGTGTTAATGACTGTGCTGTGAGAACAGAGGGAAAAGTTTGTTTTTTTCTAACTTAGAACTAGCTAATTCTAAGAGCCATTCTGTTGTATAGTTACGTCCTCCCTGTCCCTAGGGAAGATATAGTGTATTTAACCCTATTTATTGGCCTAGCAGCCAGAAGAGGAGGTGAGAGCAGCCCCTGAGTGGGATACCTGTTGCTTCACAGAAGTGTTACTCTTTCTAGAGAAGAGTTGGTCACCTCTGAAAGCCCAAAGCATTTGGGGTATCTGCAGTTCCAACATTCTCAAGGGTGGTCATCTTGATATCCCCATGTCATGTTTCAGTGTCCCAGGTTTTCTTAGACATGGCCCTGATCTTAGAACAACAGACCTTCTTGCCTAAGCATCCAAACACTTCTGGAGTTCTGTGCCTCTAAGGATTGTCTTCAGCCTGCTGCTCAGCTGTGTATCATTGTAAATGAGTCTCTTTGACTTGCAAAGAGGCCCTTAAGTCTCCATGCCTATCTATCAACTGTTTAATAGCCCTCAAGTTCATTCTTCTGTAGGACATCAATACAACCCAGAAGAAACCAAACTCCACTCTCTTTGTAGGTTGTTCTCCCCCTAAAGGTTCCCCTCATGTCTTTCAAATACTTGAATCACTGCACCTGCAGTGGTGTTTTGAATTAGACATGTGAAATAATTATTGGAGGACATACTCGTGAGAGAAAATGGGGAGAGAGGTGGAGGAGGCTGGAGGCTGGGGGATCTACTGGAAAATGATGCCAGTCTAACCTCTGTAAAGGATTGGGAGAGAAAAATAAGAAAGGAAGGTCTTTAGGTTCTTAAAAATGCACTAAGTTTCCAGCAAGACCAATGGAAGTCCTGGAGCCATAGTTCCCTGTCAGATGTGTTCCGTCTTACAGGGATGGGCCCACACCATGTCACTATCATACCGGGTCATTGGCTGGGAACACCTTCTGGGAAGTGTGGCTTCAGCAGGAGCTCAATGGCAGCATTTACGTGGCAACAGTTGAGGCTATCAGGCAATTACATTCCCTGCTGTAGGAGATCTCGGAGGTGCATCTATAGGTTGCCACAACAGTCTTCATAGCTTATGTTTTGTAAGTTCCTTCACTTTCTATGCTTAGGTGGCCAACTTAATGCCTCTTGTCTGCATCCAGATTTTATAGTTTTTATATTGAAATACATAAAAATGAGAATTGAGGGACTATGCTCTTATAAGCAGTCTGGCTCAGACTGTACAATCTTTGCAGAATGAAGACAAGATTCACTCATGTGCCTGTCTGAATTCCAAATGGTACCCAATTTATGGCAAACTGCCCTCAGTATACACCCTTTGAAAATCTAAATTTTTGTGCTGCAGGAGAAAAATGCAAAATTTATCTTTTTTTTTTAACTTAATGGTTAGATGATATTTTTGTCACTTCAGAGGTAATTCTGGGTCCTTGGAGCTTGCCCCCTCACTCCTCCACAGAAGTGCCCATATGAGCCAGTGAGCATATACTTGGCACTTACTAAACATCTGGTCCCCAACCATGGTGGGGATGGGTAAAAAGACTTAGTTTATGATTGCTTCTTCAAACACAGGGAGAACACTTGATCCCTCCAAGCTCAGACAAAAGGTTAAAGAAAGCTGCTCATGAGTGATGGCATGCAAGTTAAGGATGATGTAAAGAGGAAATATGCATGTAACTGGAACTCTAAAATGATCATGCATTCCAGATATCCCTACAGAGGGGCAACTTCCACTAACCGGCCTGGCCAAAGCAAACCTCGAGATCATCAGTCTCTCTGGGTGTCATGTAGTGCTCTTCCACCTGCACTTGACCACTTTCCTTTCTGCCCAATGGTAGTTTAGGTGCCTAAAGCCTAGTGTAGTCAACATTTTCTTAGTTTGTTACAGAATTAGTAATCAGACATAGATTCAAAGCAGGTTTACCCTTTGTCATCCCTCTGGGAAGAGAGCACTGTAAAGGACACTGCTCTGTTAATCTGTACACTTCCAGTTTGGGGAATAATAGGTACAGCTAATGTCTGTTGTGTTGGGAATGTCAAAAGCACAATGACACAGACCTCAGGGGAAAGGCCTTTCAGCTCTCCCACGTTTAAGGAAAACTGAAGATCAAAAATCTTAAAACTGAGGAGCTCTAAAGATTTAAAACAAACTGGGCTTCATTTCTGGTTTTATCTCTTATGAACTGAGTGACCTTGTGAGATTCTTCTATTTCTTCTGGGAACCTCAGCTTCTTCATCTGCAAAATGAAGATAGTAATCCCTGCCTTACAGTGCGGTGGTGAGAATTGTCAGTAACTTTCAATCAACAGTAGCTAAGTGCTTTATGCATATTAACCATTTCCTAGGTATTGAGCTAACATTTAATTGGGAGAGATAAAATCAATGTTTCTATAACTTGTAACTTATTTTGTACTGATGCATTTTAAGAACATAGCACATCATGAGTAGGAATCCTACAGGTGGTTCAGGGAAAGTTTCCTTCCATGGATCTCTACATGCCTCAGGCCTGCAGAGAAGAGATGAGGGCAATGCTGAGACATGACCGCCTTGTCTCATTTCACTCCATTGATAAACTTTTTTACAGGTCACATTCTCTTTCATGAGTGGTATCCCCATACCTGCTGGGCACACGCGTCAGTCTTCTGAAACACAACATGTTTTATTGGTTATAAGCAGTTTGAGCAGCATCTCAATTGCTAAAGAATGAGGAAATCTCTTTCTTGTAGCTAAGACAACTTTGAAATGACCCAGTTATGATTTACTTATTAAAAGATACACAGAAAACAGAGTAGAACGTATTAGTGCATAACACCACCACGTATTATAAACTCCAACCAAAACGTCCAGCTAGACAGCATAAGTAACTTTGTATGCAGTTCACAAAGCAAGGGTGTTCTGTCCTATTTCCTCATGTGTAAAATGTAAATAGCTATACCTGCATCATAAGATGTCCAGATAATTTTAAGTAGTACATCACAGAAGTGCTGAGTAAACATTAGCTGCTACTTGTTACTGGTGTTGTCATTGTTCTACCTTCTTTGCAACTCAAATATCCTTTTGTCATAAAGATAGATATTTCCCACCATTAGAACTTAGAGTTGTACACTCTTTTTTTAATATTCCTTTGGAACTATAAAAGTTGGAGACCACAGGGCCTAACATCTCAGACTACTTGAAGTTCTCATTTGGGAAGCAGCCCACCTTTTTTAAACACCTTCTCTATGAGCATATTTGAGATAGAAGGAAGTAACAGTCATCCGATCTTAGCTTCTATTTTCAGGATCTGGAGAATCCTTTCTCGGATCTGCTTGGTGCGGACAGCATAGACAGTGGGATTGAGGACTGGAGGAATGAGGAGATAAAAGTTGGCCAGCAGCATGTGGATTGGAGGAGGCACATGGTGACCAAATCGGTGAATGAGGGAAGAAACAGCAATGGGCACATAAAAGATCAGGATGGCACAGACGTGAGAACCACATGTCCCCAGGGCTTTAAGCCTGGCCTCAGGGGTGGCCAACCCCATCACGGCCCTGAAAATCATCACATAGGAGGCAGCAATAGCCATTGAGTCCAGGATAAGCACCAGAAATCCAATGCTCAGCCCATAGACATTGTTGACCCTGCTATCACCACAAGTCAAGCTGACCACAGCCATGTGCTCACAGTAGGAATGGGAGATGACATGGGTTTTGTAAAGGGGCAGCCGCAGGCGGATCATCAAAGGCAGAGGTCCAATGTAGATTACTCCCCGAAGGAGGGCAGCCAGCCCCAAATGACCCACCACAGTGTGAGTGAGCACCGTGGTATGATGGAGTGGGTCACAGATGGCTACATAGCGATCAAAAGCCATGGCAAGGAAGATGCCCGACTCAACAGTGGCAAAGCAGTGGATAAGGAACATTTGGCCCAAGCAGGCATCCAGACTAATGCCACCAGCACCAAACCAGAAGATTCCCAAAAGTTTGGGCATAGTGGAAGTAGACAGAACCAGGTCAATGACAGCCAACATGCACAGGAAGAAGTACATGGGCTGGTGCAGGCTGCGTTCTACCCTTACCACAGCCAGGATGGTGACATTCCCCACCACAGCCACCAAGTACATGGAACCAAAGGGGATGGAGAGCCAGATGTGCAGAGACTCCAGTCCTGGGATGCCCATGAGCTGAAAGGAGCTGGGTATTGAGCAGACATTATAAAAAGTGAGCATGGCTATTTATAAATGAAGCTTCTCACTGGTGCCCCAAAATGCAGCAGTGCTTTTTTCCCCCTAGAAATAAATGACAATACTTTACTCTTAGGTCTTAAAATAAAGAATAGGATCCTTGACTGGATAAGATGCTATACAATAAGTCTTTTTAAAAATAAAGTTATATACTATGGCATTCTATAACTTATAACACTATAACTTTCATGAAAATTTACCCAGTACAAGCCAAAATACATATTTGAATGAACATATGAATATCTTTTTGCAGCATGACCTTCAAGGAGTAATGTTCTTGTATCAATGAATAAATTGACTTAAGGTAGGCAGGGACCTATTTGGTCATTTACCTCTGCAGCTGAGCTTTGAGGTCGCTCTTGGGACCATACTGAAAGGCTTTGCAGATTGAGATTTCATTGGGGAAAAAAAAAATTGGAGCTGAGAGATACAGGGTCAGAGACTCCTGGGACTACCTAAACTCTGTGGTAAATGAAAGCTTAAGCTTGGGACCAGTGTTACCTACTGAATAACTGAAATAATGTCTAATCTATGGGCCAAAATCACAAGGTAGGGATGTAGGATGATGAAGAAGGTGGGTGCTTCCAGAGGATGGAAACAGGTGATTCCTGAAAGATGAAAGCTGACGACTGAAGCTCAGTTTGTATATCTGATGCCCAAAGGCAGAACCTGGCAAGGATCTTCTCCCTTCCTGGAGGCTAACTATGAAGAAAAGATTCCAGAAGCAAAGAAGGTTATCACCAGGAAGGAAGAAGATATACATACACTCAGTGCAGAGTGGCATGAAGCTGAGGAGATAAATATTTGGCTGAAAAAATGCCCTTACTCAGAGTGGAGAGAAACTGACTGAAAAAGAGGTGTCTATTTATAGAAAAGGCATGGAAATAGTTCATGTTGTCTTGGTTTTTTGTTTGTTTGTTTGTTTGTTTTTGTCTTAATCTAAAGGATCATACCAGAATGTGTTCCTTATGTACATTAGAGGAATATGAAGGAAGGTAAGGAGCATGTAAGAAGATTCAGAAGGTTAGGGGGGATAGGGCGAGGTTGGTTGATGGATTCAAAAATTCAATTAAAGGGCCGGCCCGGGGGCGCACTGGATAGTGCGCTGCTTGGGAAGCGCGGCGGCGCTCCCGCCCGAGGGTTCGGATCCCACATACAGACCGGTTCCCGCTCACTGGCTGAGCGAGGCGCGGGAGCAACACCGAGGGTTGCGATCCCGTTGCCGGTCCCCGGTCCGGTACGGGGGCAACACTGAGGGTTGCGATCCATTGCTGGACACGGAAAAAAGACAAAAGACAAAAAAATAAAAAATAATAATAATAATAAAATAAAAAAAATAAAAAAATAAAAATTCAATTAAAGAGGAATAAGTTCTAGCTTTGGTAGCACAGTAATAAAAATAATAAAATAAAAAAATAAAAAAATAAAAATTCAATTAAAGAGGAATAAGTTCTAGCTTTGGTAGCACAGTACAGTGACAGTGAACAATAACTGTATTTCAGAATAGCTAGAAGAGAAGATTTAGAGTGTTCCTGACACAAAGCAATTGTTTGACATGGTTGATATCCCAGTTACCCTGATTTGATCATTACACATTGTATGCATGTATCAAAATCACACGTACTCCAGGAATATGCACAATTATTATGTGTCAATTAAAATGAATTAGAAATAGGAGTTTCATCTTCTCTATCTTAAGCCTAGTTAGGTTGACTATAGCACAATAGTCAGTAGTCTAAGCTAAGGAATCCTCCAGGTCTGGTTTCAGATCCTGGCAGTGGAACCTTAGGCAAATTACTTTATCCTATTAATGAAATAGAATTAACCTCACTTCCTGACAAAAGTTTCAAAAGCAAACTGGTTTTAGAGAAATTGTCATGAAGATTAAATGAGAATGCACTCCAGGTCTGGTTTCAGATCCTGGCAGTGGAACCTTAGGCAAATTACTTTATCCTATTAATGAAATAGAATTAACCTCACTTCCCGACAAAAGTTTCAAAAGCAAACTGGTTTTAGAGAAATTGTCATGAAGATTAAATGAGAATGCAGTGTCCGACACGTAGTAACACTAAGCATAAGCTTTTTTTATTCAGTTGAGATGAACATCTAAAACCGAAATATGTTCAGTAAACTTCAAATATTTATCTCCAGGGAGCCATGGTGCTGGGAGGATGACTGCTGTGTAAGCCCGTTGTAGTCACTTTATCTCGCAGAACTTCTCTCCATAAACTGGGCTCATCTTAAGGTTCTCACTACAAGTGGGCATAGCATGTTGGCAGTAGCTGTAAAAAGGGAAAATAGAAAGGCTGGGTCATTGGAGCTGGAAAGGAAAAGGGTGCACAGGAACCAGCCTGTGAAGTGACCTTGTACGGTGGGACAAGGGTCTTAGCTGGGGGTAGCCTGGCTTGGCTTCCTTACCCTATATACTCATTATTCTCCACTTGCCCCTCCATATCCCTGCCCAATGCCCCCAGAAGCTGACATTTATTGACCCCTCCTGTGTTCTGGTGACTAAGCCCTCCCTTACCCGCTCAGGCCTGGGTTAGGTAATGATACTCACTGTTAGTCCTGGTGCTCTCCATCCTTTGTTTCCTTAACCCTGCCCATGCCTCCGCAGACAGTCTTTTCAACTATCCCCTTGACCATGCCATTTATTCTTCCATGAATATCAGACCAGATCCCCGCATTATATAATCTTTACCCAGTGTTGTCTTTTGGCAAGCAGACTGCTTCCTCAGCAGGACACAGAATCTGAAACTTGACCAGTCACAGAACTAATTCTAAAGGCAAAAGAGCTATAATCTCATGGCACTCAAGGTCTAGATTATCTCTTCTCTGGTTTTTAGATTTATAATAAAGGGAGACTTGTCTATTTACCCAACCTTCAATCATTATGAAAATAGCTTTCATAACTTGAACATGTTATGCTAAGCAAAGCTATAATAATGTGAAAAATAATTGTTTTGCCTCATTTCAGAAAAGACAGAGTTCTTGAATGGAAAACTGAGCAGGTTAAGTGAATCAGTTTCCATGGCTCACCCTTACAGCTGTTATTCCTCCTGTTAGGGGGGAAATTGTTTCAGTTTATCTTCCTTTCCAATGACATTTGAGTCCCTTCAGTACTACCCTGGAGGCAGTGGCTCCCTTCTAGGTTTGGGCAGAGAGGATATGTTGTAGGAAGATCTCACAGGTCCAAATCACAGATGAGGTTAATGTGTAACTAGTTAACTATGGGCACAGAAGGAAGTGATTTCTAGTGAAAGCCAGCATGCTTCTTCCCTGTCACAGACCTCGTTAGAGCCAAGTCAAATGTCCTCAGTCCTCTTGTCTGACCTGAAGCCCTGGAGAAGATTTTCATCTCTTTGCTTTTCTTGCCCTCACCTGACAACACACAGAGCTGTTGTCCCGATGGAGTTTCATCTCCATTTCATCTTTCTCTTCCTGTCCTTCTCTGGGAACACATGATGAAACTGAAAAGGGTACCCATGACTAGAGAGATGCATTTTAGCTGCTAAATGGGGGAGGACTGACACTTGGGCTTAGCTTTGCTGACCCCTGTCTTTTCCCTGAGATCCTAACACTGAGAATATCTCTTTAGTTTATGCCTCCCTAGTCAGAAGCAGCCCTCATGTTAAATACAACAGGAGGCTACTGCAGCTTCTCTGCAGAGATGGTGTGAGGGTGTAAGGATTGACTGCAGGACAGCCTCCCACCTGATCCCTCCATCCAGCACATTCACCATAACCAGCTTTTTCCATTCCTCACCTTGCTTGCTACCTTCCAGCAAGGCTGAGTTTTTCCACTTGCCAACTGTATCATGTTCTTCCTTGTACTGCAATGGCACTCCTCCTATCTTCCTCATCTGGCAGGTTCACCTTGCCACAGCTTAGATGTCACCTTCTTAAGGAAGCCTGCTTCAAAAGAAACCTACTTCTATACTGCAGTATTCTCTGAATTGCCTGCTGGCATATGTTTCCCCAAACAGACTGTTAGTTCCAAAAGGGTAGGGATCACATCTGTCTCGTTCACTGCTGTAAGCCCTGTGCTAGCACAGTGCCTGGCTTTATTGAAGGAGAATAAAATAATGTGCCCATTTACAGCACCTGGAGGGGGTTTTAGAGGGTCTTGCATTGATATTAGTGAACTAGAGGTCCCTTTGGACCCTTGTGTGTGGCTCTGTGTGGACTCCACCCTTCCTAAGTCCCCTTCTAAGAGAAATCCTTCCCTCTGAGTCTTAGACTTATAGGAGCATAATCTAAATTTGGCTGCCCAAAAGTCCCAGGTCTGTTCATAATTATAAGCTGGGGACTCCTGATGGCCTCTGCTCCCTTTCTAGATTCCTCTTTATAAGATGCTCTTACCTGAGCTGGGTTGTGTCATGGTGAGAGCCTGCAGCTCTACAAATGCCTCAGAGGCCTTGCACTTGTAAGCATTCGGCTCAGAGGTCTAGGGAATTCCATCTGGGCTCTGAACCTCCCCACTTTCCCAGTGTGGAAGGGTAATAGCAGGCTTTGTCCTAGAAAGATAAGTACAGAATCTAAATTTAAGCACAGCTATCCATGGCATGTCAGGGTTGGTCCAGAGGAGTCTAAGGGGAAGGACAGATCTCTTGAGTCATAATCCCTTGAGTCCAAGTCCTGCTCTTGCTCTTTATATCTGGCCTACCTGGAGTCTGCTATTATGAGGCACCAAGTATAAATGAGAAATACCTTCTCCAAGGAGGGATAAAGAGTTCCCTTGAGCTCAGAGATAAGGGACCAGAGTTCAGCCTGGCTGTAAATCTCTAAAGTTTTATCTCTTTACAGTATTTGGGAGGTGATGGTAGAGTCCTGAATTAAGACAACCCAATGGCAACCCCCTAAAGTAATTAGATTAGATACTGAAGTTCTTTTCCCAACTCTGGTTTATATCATGAAAGAAGGACTCCTTGGACTTGAGTGAAGTAGTGGATCTCCTTTACATTTTTCTTTTTTTTTTTTTTTTTT